ACGTTTTAGTAACATCTTATAAGTAGATTTGCTAAATTATATTTTTTCTTATGTCTTTAAAAAAATTTAACTTTATAAAATATTTTTTTATTTTCCTGGTATATATACATATATATATATATATATATATACATATATATGTAAAATTTCTAATCACTTTCAATTTTGCAAATGTATCTGTATCGTGCAATTTAACTTACCAGAGTGACAAAAAGTGAGTTAATAATCGTAATGCCACAGGCGACTAAAAGCAGATGATAAATTTGAACAATTTGTACTGTCATGTAAATAAAATTTGTACTAATATTAAACGGCAACTCCATCTTCAGAATAAGCTCTTGCGCGTACGGTTCTAATCTTTCAGGATCGTTTACATTAGCGGCGAATACACCGGCAACATATAAAAATACAGCGACCACTTGCGTACCGACGATCCATCTCGAGGTGCGATGTGCAACATTCGCCGTGTCTGTCATTATACGTAAACTATAGCTGTTTGAAGTGTAATCTTGCCAGTCCGTAGACATCATTTGCAATACATCGAAAAATAGTCTACGGAAGATCAGTTCACCATTCGTATTAATGTCTATTTCATTCGATTTTGCTTAATTTCGAATTTGATGCGAATATTTTATTAAAATATCAGAAAGAATAAGCAATGTAATATTATACGCACTCGTGTATATATTTTCAAATTCTAATTAAATCGATTGAATAATATTAAAAATTGATTATTTAATATTTTTTTGCCGATAATTTCGGCAAATGCCAATAATGAAATGTAACACGATTTGCATATTTTTTCACGCTTCTCAAGCAGTTTCGCCCTACCGTTGATGGGTCCAAAGAATAACGAGCTTAATATAGAGTAAAGTAGACGCCATTGCACTGCTCACTCCATCCATATACTGGGAAAAATCGTCCATATGAATGTTTATTATTACGTATCGATATTGAAAAACTTGGGCCATGCTTAGCATTATGATCCAGTACGATCTAAATATCACAGTGGACGGTGCATATGGCCATATACCGTAAACGTGAAGGCCAAATCTGACTAATAGACTGAGCGTGGCTATCCCCATATTTCTCGTGGACAACAGATTAATCGTGTTACAAAATATCGCGTTGTAGAATAACTTTATTTATGCTAAAACTTGATCACGGGTCGACAATCGAACGCGACCCGTGTCGTCGACTATTTGCCAATCAAAACTTGTTTAATATTTTTGTTGCATCGTAAAAAAAGAAAGAAAAAACAGCAACTATAATTTTAAAAATAATGGAGCAATTGCAACTGTAATTTTAGAAATATGGATAATAGAGGCAGTCCCTTTCTTTCCGAACTTTTGATTATAATGCAACTATATGTTCTCTTTAAAAATTCAACAGGTAAAGAAAAGATGGAGCGCAGCTTCAATGAATTGTTTGCAGAGGTTGAAATGTTTTGCTGCTGGGGGGGGGGGGGGGAAAGAAAACGTAACGTGGAGAATCGAGAGGGAGGAAAACTAAGACGTAGGGATAGGAAGCCAGTGTAAAGATTACATTTGGCGCTATAGGTGGCTTGCAAGAGGGCTCGAGCAGTTGGACAACGGCGGTGCAAGCAGAAACATAACGGTTTATACAGAACGATGATACGAACAAAGAAAAATACGGTTCATCAGGAGATTTTTTTCTTACAACCAAAGTGAGTATTTTAATAATATATTATTATCGTATATATATATATTATTTCTACACTGTACCTTTAACATAAATAAGTTTGATTTCTTATAATTTCATTTAGTTGTACTAAGTACCTTTCAAATAATTTTTAATTCTTAATATGAAAATATTAGTAATTGATTAAATTTATCGTTTTTATATAAACGCGTTTTTTTGATTATCACTTTATTATCAGATTTGATAATAAAGTGATAATCAAAAAAAAAAAAGTAAAAAAGATCAAGTATATCGATCTAAAATATCAACAATGTATTTATAGCTCTGCCTTTATGCACTGTAGACTAAATAAAGCCATCGCGAACGGATGCCTCGGGAAATCGATGCTTTAGTAACCCCGCTTGTCTACACACTTGATATAAAACTCCGCCTCTTTGAATAGGAAAATTGTTAACCATGTAAACTGATGGTAGTAAAAGTACTATATCCTTTTGCATGCAAAGATATAAGCGACATGCAATGTATTGAAGCTTCAATACATCGCGTACAACACCGACACGTACGACGCCGAAGCTTTCACCATCTGCAAAATGATATAAACATTTTATTACTACATTGTAACTATCATAGAAACGACGAAGCGAAAGAACATTGTTAAGATGTCAAAACATTCATACATTAATAGTTTTATAAATATGGCTTTTCTTAATCATTTCTATTATATTACTAATTTCTTACGCTAGCGAACTGCTTGAGAGAAAGATCCATTATTTTTCCGATCGTGAGCGTCAAGTGTTTCTGCGATCTTATCATCAAAATCAGAATATCTCGATTTTGATTCGGATTCAATTCATACCAAAGCAATTCATACACAGCATCGCCGATCTCTTGGCTCTGAAATATATAATAAATAAATGATCTTAGTAATGTATTGTATCCACTTCGCTTTACGTGAAATACTGACTTTTGTACTGAGATGCTCTCCTAGGAAACAAAATATGAATGCTTCCATGCTTATAACAATATAAAAAAACACGGACTTTATTAACATAGGCATTCCACCCGGGACACCCACAGACTAAAAATTTTAAATAACATATATTTCAAAGTTATAAGTTAGATTATTTTACGTGTACTTACGATTACAATAAGAAATCCTAGAGAACATATAACCATAGTATTTGATACAAATTGTATTAGCGCAAAATTTGAGAAAAAGTCTTCGATATTCTTGGAAAAAGAAATAATCTTTTGATGCCGAATAATCAACATTTTCATAATCCTGTCGTTTATACCTCGCTTGATGTCCTTTTGTGTGATTTTACACAATTTTTGCCGCAAAATGTCAATTTGTCCACACACATGAAGAACCTAAACGTCACAATATGCACCTAGTGTCAGTTCAATTTAATGTGAAAGCCCAGTGAAAGTGTATTTTCATTGCTTCAGTAACACAATTTTTTTAATATAATAAAATGAAAAAATTATTATTAAGATATTTATATATTTGATATATTTTAGAATATTTTGTATAGGTTCAATTTTGAAAGTTCCTCTTCTCTACATGTTATATTATTCTTTTCATTTATTCTTTTTTACGACTTTCAGAAACAGCGACAAAATTATTAAAAAATTCAAACTTACTAATGTTATTAGCAAGGAATTCATCACGCCCACCATACTGGCTGCGCTTGTTTGATGAACATATTGTGTAACAAAGACAGCTATATGCACTGATGTGCTCTTGATCTCAAAAGGTAATTCCATTTTAAGGAGAAGTTCTCGAGTGTCAGTCTGATTATTACTTTTAAACCTCAACAAAGTACCGGTTGCATAAAGGAACACAGAAAGCGCGTACAAAGCAATTATAAAGTTGGAGAACCGACGAGAGATGTACGCCATCCTAGTCATTGTGTATTCGTCGTAAACATCGCGCTCCTTCCAGTCAACAACTGTGTGTGCTATGATTTTGTTCAGCAGACTATAATGGAAAGACTATAAAGAAATATAATATTGATCGAGCTATGTGTGCGCAAAAACGCAAAAATTTCTTTATTTCGCGAGATGTTGTCAAATGATTACAAATTAATAGCAAAAGTGATATAAATTCAAGATTTTTTCTTACAACTTGGAATCTAAAGAATATAATTCAATATATTTATTTTGCGAATCGTATTTATGACTCAGTGTCGTGACAAAAAGCTTACCGAGCATTGAATGTAAAAATAATCAATTTGATTAGCAAAAGACTGTAAGCCATAGTTGCGCTTAATACATCCATAAGGAATAAGAGATCCTCCTCTCCGAAACGCAAGATCACGTACCAATATTGAAAAATCTGAAACATCGCCATTGAAGATATACAGAACACTCTGCGCAAAATTGCATATGACGTGCCCGGCCATACGCCGATTAGGCGAAGTCCGAACTTGATAGGACAACACACTATATTCTCCAATTCTGTACCGTTATTCATTGAGCAAATTAGTCTCACAGCACGACAGCACCAACGTGTTATAACACTCTAACGTAGTTTTCTTTTCCGTCTATCTTACAGTAAAATAATCAGAAAAGACATAAATTTGTTTAACGAATTATTTAAAATAAATAATGAGCGCACACAGCTTAAGCAGCATCGAAATTCTAACACGATGTTATATCTTATAATATTGTTGATTAAAACATGAACTTTAAAATTTCTAATTACAGCACGCAGATCAGTTATTTCAATTATAGTTAACAGTCATGATGTGATCGATCAAAAGGCCTCAATAAAACTGTAAAATTCTATAAATTCAGTACTCAAATAAACTTCTCCCCTCCAGTTGTAAATCGATAGAAAATATATACTTATCTTGTGTTTCCATCGTATTTTTCCGTATCTTCTTATCTTAGAAACTGCGAATAAATAATCCGACATTTCGATGATTATCGTTGTAAAAAAAAAAGAACAGGTAGAGAGATAGCCATAAAGAACTTCTATACACCCTCGTGTACATTGATCGGTCGTTGTTCGTTATTTGCATTAAAAATGCAAAGCAAACGTTATCAACATCAGTAGACATTAATAAATTTCAGTTTCATGTGGCTCAATATTATAATTTAATACAATCGAAATGTGAACATCATCTATACATCTATCAAAGATTTTAAGTGAGTTCTCTTTTTGCTGAAAGAAGTTGGAAAATCCTACTTAAATCAATCATGGTACGTCATAAAATAATTTTACTAGTAATAAAATAAAATAATTTTATACTTATTTTATAATAAATTATATATGGATGGTATAATAAAATCAATATCAATATATATATAT